GACTATCCTACATGTTATTCTCACATTATCCCATTCTATGTGTGATATCATCAATTATTAATAACTATTTTTATTTCTGTTTTTAATCTAGACTTTTGACTTTAATTTATATATTAACCTAGTATTTCTTTTGTAAAAACAAAAAAAAAAAAAAAACACCTAGTATGTCTTATATTTTTGCTAACCACTAAACCACATAGTATAATCACTTCACAATTTGAGTAATAGGGCTTACAGTGCTAAGCAAATAGATTATTTTAACGGAAGTAATAAGATTACTTTAATGGAAAAATGGAGTTAGCTCTCATAATAGTTACTCTCTCTGTCCCTAATTGTTTGCTCCACTTTCCTTTTTAAAGTATCCCCAAAAAATTATCCCATACTATTTTTGACATGTTTTTCCACTTGTACCCTTTGTCCCTAATTGTTTGCTCCACTTTCCTTTTAAGCCTGGTTATTTGACATTGAAAACATATTTGAGTTTTATAAGTCTGAAATTGTTGTTAAAGCAAATTCTTCTTGCGGGGATATGAGAATAGGATTAATGGACAGCCGCTTTGTCAACGATTTCTCCGGAACCACAGTCCCAACAACACTATATTGGGATGGTCCAGCTTCATATATTCAGGCCAATTCAGCAGTTGATCATTACAATTTTTATTGTGCAAATCAGAGTGGCGATAACAGTTGTAACTGCAACATCTTCTACGAAGGAAACCCCTATCTTCCATATGGATGTCAACGTAAACAAACTATCTCATAAATTATTTAAACATCCTTTAAGTTGGACACTCTTTGGATGTAAACTAATCAACTCCTTTTTTTTTTTTTTGTTCTAGTTGCAAGGGAATGTAGGAAGTGCAGGCATCGTTGTGTTGAGAATCTTTTTAATCTAAACCCTAACAAACCTCCTTATTACTGCAGGAAAAATCCATTGTACAAGTGGGAATCAATACTTGGTAAGAACTTGGTTGACTAATGCTCAGTAAATTAAACGATTTACTTAGTTTTAAATTGCTAGTTTTCTTGTAATCAGTTTATGACTTTCCGTAAGTTTAAGCTTCTGGTTATGATTCCATGTAAGCTTTTGCAGCTTAGTACGTATAGAAAGTTAAGACGACATAACTTTCTATACGTATTTGTGATGCTTGTTTCAGCTTTTGGTTATGACTTCCTGAAACAAGCTTTTGGTTATGACCTCTATTAATCCAAAGACGACATAACTTTCAATACGTATCTGTGATGCTTGTTTCAGGATTCAGCTTAGGCATGGGATTGATTGTGTTGCTCTTAGGTTGCTATGGGGTCTATAGAGTGGTAAAGAATAGGAGAGAGATTCGATACAGATCTGAGTACTTTGAGAGAAATGTTGGCTTGTTGTTGCAACAACAAACATGTTCTAGTGAGGGTGCCCAGAGTACGAAAGTCTTTCTTGTAACAGAGTTGGAGAAGGCCACTGACAACTTCAACAAAAACAGAATCCTTGGTCAAGGTGGCCAAGGCACGGTTTATAAGGGTATGTTAAAGGATGGGAGAATCGTGGCCATTAAGAAGTCTAGAAAAGTAGATGAGAATCAGTTAGAACAATTTATCAATGAAGTTGTTATTCTATCTGAAATTAATCATCGGAATGTGGTCAGATTACTGGGTTGTTGTTTAGAGACAGAAGTTCCTCTGCTCGTGTATGAGTTTATTGAAAATGGAACACTTTATGACCATATTCATGATGCAAGTGGAGATTTTCATGTTACTTGGAAAATGCGTCTACAAATGGCAGCAGAATCAGCTGATGCTATAGCATACCTGCATTCATCTTCATCTGCCCCGATTTATCACAGAGACATCAAGTCCGCAAATATACTTTTGGATGCCAAATTTAGAGCAAAAGTTTCAGATTTTGGGGCCTCAAGAGCAATCGACATTGAACAGACACATGTGACTACATGTGTTATTGGGACGTATGGTTATTTGGATCCACTGAGAAAAGTGATGTTTACAGCTTCGGGGTAGTCCTTGTTGAGCTTATAACTAGCAAAAAGCCAATTTGCCCCACCAATGATGGGGGATGGATTAGTTTAGCTGTTGAATTTCTGTTCCACATGGAAAATTCTCGTCTTTTTGATCTTTTGGATCCTCGGATTTTAGATGAGGAAAAGGGGGAGGAATTTGTAGCTGTTGCTAAGCTTGCAAGACAATGCCTAAATATGAATGGAAAAGAAAGGCCTTCTATGAAAGAAATCGCGATTGTGCTAGATGAGATCAGATCATCCCATGTTCCTTGTTCAACAGAGCCAAATTCCATGGTTGGCAAGGAAGTGATGATGGAAATGAGTGATAATAAGCATGGTAGTTCAACTAAAATCTCATTCTTTCCTGGTGTTGGCACGGGTGCTTCCTCCGCTGTGGTTCAACGAGCTATGACACATACATTATGATGTAAGATACTTGAAAATCATAGCTACGAAGGTTTATGAAATTATAATCATAGCAAAATGGACTATATATTTCTGAGCATGTATTTTGTTAGGATGACCTTATCATGAATACCTTAACTAGTAATCTATTTTTCATACTTGTGCACTGTAATACTGTTAAAAACTTTGTGGTGTCAACATGTAGCTAATTGTGAACAGAAAGTATTGAGGTTTAGTTGCTGACAATAAGTAAGTCAATAAGTCTGTCAAAAAAAAAAAAAGTCAATACAGCATGGTGAGTTTCATCCCTCTTGATTTGAGGAAAGAGAACAACATTCAATATGTGTTGTTGCAGATTGACATGAGCATCCAGTATGGAGAAGATGCAGATGTGAAGGTTAAAGATTTCGATATCGATACAGATGATGATGAATAGCTGCAGCTCACTCTGACCATCCGATTAGCACAACAAAATTAGCATAATTTCAAAACTTGGCCTATTGTAAACCACCTTCCTCAATCCTCATCCTTTCTATTTTTTGTTCTTATGTTTTTCTTGGTGAATGGTGAGTAAGGGCCTGTTCCGATTGACTGAACTCAGCTGAACTGAACTGAACTGAACTGAGCTGAGCTGAACTTAGCTGAACTGAACTAAACTGAACTGAACTGAACTTATTAATTAGTGATTATTAACTACGGATTAGTGATCTTTGATTATTTATTGATTATTTATTACTATACATATGTGTATATACAAATGTACATATTAGTATTATTAATATTATTATTATTATTATTGATGATTATTATTATTATTATTATTATTTATTGATTATTATTATTATTATTATTGTTATTATTATTATTGTTATTATTATTATTATTTATTGATTATTATTATTAGTATTATTATTTCAATTATTATTGTTATTATTATTATTATTAATATTATTATTATTATTTATTGATGATGATTATTATTATTATTATTATTATTATTATTATTATTATTATTATTATTATTATTATTATTTATTACTTATTGATTATTATTATTGTTGTTGTTGTCGTCGTCGTAATAAGAGCTTAAAAGAATGAAATTTGGCTTTATATCATTAGCAATATCATTAGACGTAAATTAAGAGCTGAGCTGAACTGAGCTGAACTGAACTGAACTGAATTTCAACGGAAGAGAACAGACCCTAAGAGTAACATATAAGTCATGTATATTGGAATTTGGAACTATTGAGACTTTGAACTTTTGAAGTACATTGTTTGAAAATGCTAATTTATTTGCAAAACATAATACAGGACTTTTAAATAAAAGTATTTGAAGATTCCTTCTTTTCAAAAGAGTACGTCCTGTAATTAGGTTAATGTAATCTAGTCAATCAGTTATGTTATAAACTCCCTGTTTGACTCTTATTCAAATAAACTGTCCCATGAATGTCATCTGTAGAGTAATGCCCAGGAAGGAGTCAGGAGCAGAACAATGATCTATTTAGAATGAAGATTTTCTAGAAAATAATGCATTAATTTTTTATTTTTTATTTTTAAAAAAAAAAAAATTGCAGTGTTTGAGATGTAAAGCTTGTGTATATATTTATAAAACTTCATATTGGGATGGACTTTAGCAAGGTTAAAAGTTATCAAAATATCTAACTTATGCCCCTTTTACCATTTAACAAAGATATGCTAATTTAGTAATTCTTACGAAGTAATTTAATCGGCGGTTTTAATGTAAATTGGTAATATATATATATATATATATATATATATATATATATATATATATATATATATATATATATATATATATATTTTCCATTAATTGTAGTTGCTTAAATTTCAATATATATACATTTCTATGATATGAGTAATTTTTTTTAAACAAGGAAGACCTCATGGTGCAGTGGCATGAGGTTTGAGTGTTTTTTGTTTATTATTTTTAAAAAAGATTGACTTATAAATAAAAAGTCATTTGACTTCTTTCAAAAAAAAAAAAAGTCATTTGATGTCTACAAAGAAGTTTAAATCTAACAAATACATGACAATTGAATCAAATAAAAACATCATTTTAAAAGTGTTACGATCATTGATACAAATCGTAAGTGAATCGACCTTAATTCACGAGCTATTAAGAGCAACTTCAATGGTTGGGAAAAAGGACTAGCTTGCAAATATTAAAAATCTTGAGCTAGTAGCTAAACCATTGTTTCACATATTGTTGATCAGCTTTGGCAAGCAAATTAGCTTTGTAGAGCTAATTAGCTTGGCAAATATTTATTAGATAAAAAAATATTATTTATTTAAAAATAAATTAATTTTCAACTAGCTTAACCATTGCAGCAACAAATAGCTTGAATTATTGTAGCTTAAGAAGATGATGTGGAATGTCAAGCTATTTAATAAATTAGCCAACCATTGTAGTTGCTCTAATAAGAGTCACACTTTCTTTATTACTACCTCCGTTATATATTATTTGCAACAATTATACATTTTATCTCTATTTTATGTTAAATATTTCCAAATAATACGTAACAATGGAGGTAGTACATATTATTTTTAGGACAGGAATATGAAAGTCGTCGTTAGAAATTCAGCAAGTAGTCGAGTCGAAATAGCTGAAACCTTGTGTGAGTTTATAATTTCCCTCGCAGACGCTTAACTCTCAGCCTCAGTAGTCACTACCTTTTTTCGCCGGTAAATCGCCGCCGATCACCCACCCACCCACGCCCAGGTATTTCTCCTCCCTCTCCTCTCTTTTCTCTCATTTCGTAGTTAGGGTTCGAATTACCAAACAAAAATTGCTGAAATTGCTGTTGCTTCCCTTTCTCCTCCTTTCCTTTTTCGATGAATTACAGAATCTATAATCAATTTCAAAACCCTAATTTACTTTCTTTCTATTCAGTTTTTCTGATTCCAAGAATTTCAATTTTACTACTATCTGTTTTGAATTTAGTTTTTAATATCTTATTTTTCAAATTTAACCCTCTTTTTAAAGGAGCTATATGAGTATACCGGTTTGGATTGATTCGTGTGATATGATTCAATGCTATTATTATGCAAGATATCAATTATTCAAGTGAAAGAATTAGGCAGTATAGACTGTATAGTATTATAGAGTCTTCTGGGTTTGAATGTAATTAGTTGAGATTATTATTGAATTGATTTGAATTTTGAGCAATATGAAATGTAATACAATGTCCGTATTGCATCATATCATATACTAATATAAGTATGAGTTTATGATCTTATTTATATATATTATATAACAAGGTGGAATAGAGGTTGCTGACAGTCTAATTTACTTGTGTTTGCATTGTTCCTCCTTATGGATTGAACCTGTGATGACCCATTTAATAATGTCGAGCAGAAGAGGATTGCGGGGATAGTGTAAATGAGAATGGAATGGAGTGAGGACGACTTTACTTTCTTAAACTACCCTGTTTAATCATCAATTGGTATTCTATACTCAATGACTTTCTTTTAGTGTAGTTTATCACTTAGAAATTCCTTAGAAAACATTTGGCTTTGAATTTTAACAAGTACCTTTTCGGGTTGTGCTATTTTCAAATAAGGTTTTATCGAATTTTCTACTTGAAAATATATTTTATTATTTATATTGCTCTCCTCAATCAGGACATTACATTTTAATTTGGCTTTTGAATTTCGTCTATCTTTAGAAGTGATATTGTTCATGTATCAATGTATGTACCCAAGTTGAATTTATTGTCGTTTTTTCTTATTTTTAAGAGTGTAGCGTATTGTGTGAATTAAAGATTTAGCTTTGTTTAGTTTGTATGGTTTACTAAATTTTAATTAAGACTATGTGGTGCTACTATTTAGTTTGGCATATCAACCAGTCTTTTGTCATTTTTTTTTGTTTTCTTTATGTTTTTTTTTGTTTTTTTGTTTTTTTTGTTTTTTTGGTAGATACATTGCTCATCTGGTTTCCTTGGTTGCTGTTATTAAGCTGGATTAGAGACGAATACAGTTGAAGCTGCAATCTATCTGTTTCAGGTATACACACTATCATATTCTGGAAACTATTTTATTTTTATGGTCTCATTTTTTTTGGCCTGTGTTTATATGGGGTGGGTTTTGAATTCTATTTTAAGAATTTCCATTGGATTGAATTATAATTTTAATGCTAGAGCTGTGCTATGTGATAGATGATGATCTAGAAACGTAGATGATGATCTAGAAACGAATATAGTGGCAGAGTAGTAGGAAGAACAACAATGACATGAATTCGACTAAGCCATGATGCTGTAATTGACCATTGTTTCACTATGAAAGAAAAAAGAAAATCCTCTTAAGGAACAGGTTATTGATATGTAATATTTAGTTCTTAGAATCCAAAGTAAATGATTAATCCCCTTGCAAAAAATTATTCTTAAGGCTGACATATGGATTCTCTTGGTTGGTATGGTAGAATATGAAGGCTGAAAGATTTGGAGAGAAAAACAAGAGAGTTAGGTTGGTAAATTTAAGGTGCAGCTGGGGAGTTTTTGCCAAATACGGATTAGTTAAAAGTGTAATAAATCAAATTAACAAACTACAACACTTTTTGATGCCTAAACAGACGTCTCTTCTTAATATTGTCATTAGTTATTAGGTTTATTAGTGTGTATATATCTATAATCCTTTAATCAATCAATAAAAGCCTTGATCCCATAAGTGGGGTTGACTACATGAACCAATAGTGATTATTTCCCATAGTCATCTACAAAAATCCTCCTCCGCCACGGCGCCACCCATTACGACCAAATACCTTATTCTCTTGCAATTCCATTTTTGTGATAAAGCTCACAAATTCCTATAATATTTCTATAATCCTTCAAGTCACTAATTACTTCTTGGGGGTGATAAAGGAGCTAAGGGAACCAATTTTTGTAGCAATAAAGGTGCTCTGAGACTAGGCTTAATTGCATGTGGGTAGAATTAACTAAATTACTATAAGAAGCTTTTCACAAGGCACTTTTGTAATATTTTTAGTGTATTGGCAATTGCAATGATCATTCACTCATGAATCGTATCTTAATTTGCAAGAAGTTGCCCATTTGTATGAGATAGGTAATTTTAGAGCATGCTATTGCTTGGAGAGAAAATATGAAGATAAGATTTATGCAAAGCTAGAATAAACGAAAAGGGCCATGTTGAAGCAATTTAAAAAAGGTGGATATCACTTGATTTAACACACTTAAAATGGGGTTAAGACTTGAGAGATTGTTAGGAGTATAATTAATTGGGTGATAAGCTTTAAATAAGGGTAAAAGTACAACTTTAACCCAAAAACTTTCCAATTATAGTGTATTGCAAATATTGTGACAAATCTATTTGGGGAAGTGTTGCAAGTATTTAAAACGGAGGAAGTAAGTGTATAATCTTCTTTTTAACTATTTCCTTTTCATCATGATATTTGTCTTTATCTGTCGACTTTAACAACTTTACTCCTTTTAGGTGTCCTTTATTTTTTCATAACCCATGTCCAGATGTGTGTTGACTCAATGACGTGTACATTATTAATTTATTATAGAGAATCAACCATTGGCTTTGGCATTTCCTTAATACCCACTACCCAGTATAAATCAGCCCAAAACAAATTAGCCCTAGGTAATGTAGCCTTAATTTCAAGCATTAAGAGTTAGACCTGTAATATAAACATAGAAACACCCAAGGGGAGCAAAATTGAGATGTATACCAAATCGTACATTTGATGGTTAAAAGTCGGGAGAAAGTACAACAATAACATGTATGAATTGCATATTTTAATGTGTCATCTGTGCACTACCACAAATCTAACATTATTTGTCAAAATCCTTTCTTTGAAATTCAATGATTTATCAGCAATCTTACCGGTTAATATTCTGTCCAAGTAAATTCAAATTGAAATGGTGATAAGCTTTTGGTAGGAAAATATAGTGATAAGTGATGAGTCCAACAAGCATAAAAGAAGTATCACCTGACAGTAACAGACCAATTAACCATCTATTATTGATGTAGTTTATTGAATAATTATTTGCAAAACTAATGTATATAGTAATTATATGCTAAACCAAAATTATAAGTCTTAACAGAAGCGATAAACCTACTGTAAATTAATGTTGTTATTTTTTACTAACAAAAATTGATTTCAATATATGTTCAATTAAAAAACCAAGCAATTTTTCTTTTGTGCTAAATGCTAATATGAGTAATCATTTGCCATTTAAACTACATCTCTTAGCTGGATGTTCCTAACGCAATTGATTTCTGTTTCCTAAACACTTATAGAATCATCAACTAAAAGTTTAAAACACAATGAGTTTTTATTCTAAATTTTAAAATTACTGCTACTACATGCTAGTTTTAGGTGAGCCTGAGTACACAATACATGTCTTTTATTAATTAATTGTCATAAACCTGCGTCATAAACTCTTTTTTTTTTTTTTTAATCTCTCGCTCCAAAACCCTAACTAATTTGCTTTTTGAAGCTGAAGAAATTTAAATGGCAGATTTAATGCCAAAAACAGAGACAGAAAGACCAGTTGCTGTTAATAATGGTAATAATGGTGTTGTAAAGAACAAGAAGAAGAACAAAGAGGTTGCTCCCTTCGGAAATTGCAGGAATTACTATGGCTATCGTGTAAGTTCTCTTTCTTTCTTTTTTTTTTTTTCTTTTCTTCTTTTTTCAAAGTTTAGGGATTTTCTGGAAATGTTTAGATGTGTAAAGATTGTATAAACTTATGCCCAAATGCTATTTTAATTTTTATTTCATTTTCATTGATAATTATTTATTAAAACTCTTTTTCTGTGATAAATTTATTTCATGGTAGTTCACTGTTTCTTCCTAATGAATTTTGTTAAATTTGGCCGATTGTAGCAACATTAGGTTAGAAAAATATCTGGGATTTTGATTTATGCTGCTAGAAGTTAATTTTTGCTAATAAATTCTAGTGATGTTTATTGTATGAAAATTTTATCTGCATGGAAATTTTACTGTGATTAATGATCTATAATTTTGAAGAAGGTACAATTTCACCTTTTATGATTAAAGTAATGCTGACTTCTCCCTGATTATGCTTCCTCGTGTCATGGTAATTGAGTAGAGTTAAATTGTATGCTTCAAATTCAAGAGTGTCGAGTAATTTCACACTGAGATTCTAGCACGTTTGTATGAAGATATTGATATAGTTGTAATTGTATGGTAAATCATTGGAAGAGAGGGGGAGAGGGATGAACTCCGAGCTTTCAGAAGAAACATCTTTTTTAAAAAAATTCTGGATCTTTTCACAACGTATGCTATTGAAAATGTTTGTTTCTGTTTTGTTTCCTAGTTATTACCAAAGGGATGTATTGTGTAAATTTCTAAGTAAGGCCTTTACTGATGTTTATATGTCCTAGTTTAGGGAAGTTTCATTCTTATGCCTTTATTGAGTCAGGATGTGAAATTATAATGTTAGACAATTTATGTATCTTGGGGTGGTTGTATGTACATCGTTTGGTTTTGTTTATCTTTCTTGAAAATGTCTAATTGGCTCGCTGGATTGATAGTTGAATTTTCATGTCCTGAGATCCTGCAATTAAGTTTAAGTGATAAATCAGGTTGGACATGACGTTGAGGAGGATCCACGGTTCAAAGTACTGAAGAAGGAGTGGTTTCAAGGCAAAGATTGTCTTGACATTGGTTGCAACAGCGGATTGATAACTATTAATATTGGTAAGGATCAATGCATTTTGGCTTTCAATTTAGCATGCAAATTTTCAATTCTGATCTATTTTCAATTCAATTGTGATTTGCAGCAAAGAAGTTTGACTGTAGGACTATTCTTGGCATTGACATTGATAATAGTATGTCTCTAAAACTCCAAACTGGCTTTAGCAGGGTAATATCATACGTCATTGATGATACATGATGTAATTTGTAATTTGGCGGTTTTCCTGTTCCTAAGTCATCAATATCTTGTGGTAATGATTTGTGCCTTGACCGTTTTGCTAGTAGCCCCTTAGTTTGGACAAACTTTTGCATGTGCCCGCAAACTTCTGCTTAGTTCATAATTGCTTCAAAAAAATTTCTCTCTAATTGATACTTTTATTGACCTATTGACTTTTAGCACATATTGTTTGACTGCAATGATGTCAGGTGCAATGGTTCTTTAGCAAGGGTACTTTGTGTTCTCTTCACTTGGTCACTGACTATAATGTCACCATAGCTGGGGTATCTGCGGGAGTGAATTGGCTTTGATTGAGGACAAAGCTCTTCTGTGTATTGTTGTAAAATGTTATTTGGATTCTTTGCTAACCTCAAAGAGTCATAGGAGTTTCATAGCTACATCAAACCAAGCCATTTTCCTACGAAATGACAAAGAAATTGCTTTTTACAATGTTTTCTGTTGCAAATGTTGACGAACTTAGTATCTTAAGACACGATGTTTCACTAAGCTGATCCATGTTCAATCAGCCTGACTTGTGCATTCAGCCCCTTTAAGAAGGAATTGCTTTAGGCACGATGTTTCACTAAAGTTGAGAGGCTTTTGGTGTTGTCTTTTAGAAGAGTTTTTGTTATTTTATAAGAGGTTGTAATTATCTTTTCAAATATTACTAGCTGTGTATTTTAGCTTCTTCCTTAACTTTCTATGTATATTATTGTTTAGATAGAGATTTAAATGCATCTTTGCTTTTATATATCATAAATTTTAACATGGCTTAATGATCCATATTACAATCATTTTCTGTTAAAGCATGTTTTCTTTACTTCCATTTGGGGGTTGTAGAGTTATTCTTTTTGTAGGACTCCTATTTAGTTAATTATTGTACTAGTTATCATACTCTCATTTGGAAATTGGATGGTGATGCTCTTTGTAAGATTCCTACTGAGTTAACTTTTATCTGTCAATATCCTTCTTCCCTGCATTAAACTTATAATTCCTATGCTTTGTAGATCGAATCAAAGATGCTTGGTGGCGCCTTCGGAAGATGGTAAGAGAAGAGAAAACTGGAAATGGATGTGTTGGGTCCTCCAAGACAAGGGTTAAGGGTGTGAATGAATCGGAATGTGCTGAAACTTGTTCCACAAGTACAAAGGATGATGAGACTGATACTCTCTCGGTGGATAGAAATCTTCTTGACATTGTATCTTTTCGATGTGAAAATTTTGTTCTTAGTTGGGTCTCACTTCCCCTTGAAAACAATGATACCATTCTGTGGTAAGATTTATCTCTGTATATATTCACAGTATACACTTGGATAAACCTATTATCAAGTATGACTATGAGGACTTACCTGAAATTTGGATAAGTTAAGCAAAAGAATCACATATGCTTCTTCAATTTACTCGCTTCCTTTAAAAAATATACTACTATATAGGATAATTGTGACATGCTACGATGTCCCCGTTTTTGCTTTTTTTTTTTTTTTTTTGAGATGAAATTGATGTGACTAAAATGAGATGAGTATCACAATTGCAATGAAAAGTAATTGAATCGAGGATATTGACTATATCAACACTGAATTTTTATTCTTGCTTCCATTACCTGTAATAGTAACTTGTTTTTTCATTGATGGATTCCCTTATGTGTAATATGCAGTTTGAGTGTGACAAAATGGGTTCATTTGAACTGGGGTGATGAAGGATTAATATCGTTATTTGCAAAGTTTTGGAGACTCCTCCATCCGGTATGTGTATTTGTTCATTGTATTTTTTGTCTTAGTAAATAAAAGCCCATTCATTTTAGGCAGTTATGCTATTCTCTCATAGATAGTGTTGAATGGATCTTTTTTATGAGCAGGGTGGCATTCTTGTCTTGGAGCCTCAGCCATGGGAATCATATTACAAGAATCGTCTTACAACTGAGGTGGTTATTTGTTTATACTTCTCATCCATTTTATAACAGTTAATGGTATTTAAAAGTAAACTGTTCTTAAATCACAAAGGGCTAAATTCACACTTGAATCTTATAGACATGTCAATTCAACACAGGCATGTTTGTTGAGAGTTATACGACACTTAGCTAATTCATATATTTTTACATCATATTTTTACTGGATATGACTCTTTAATTAAGTATGTACAAAAAAAATGACTTGGCATTGACAGCATACAAATTGAACAATCACTTATCCATATCAGGATTAATTTTTGTACCGGAAAAATACTATTTAGTTTATAATCCAACATAGGGATGTCAGTGTGGCAAAGATGGGTCCCAGTTTGCCCGGTGGTGGTGGGTGGAATCAGGGTAAAAATGATATCCGCCATGAGTGATGGGGGTGGGGGTGGTTTTTGGGTGGTACCTGTCCCATCACCCTTCCTCCCGCCCCAAGTCTATTCGCCCCATACCTACATCAGTGCATCCATATGTAATATTAAGAGTGTGTGTGTGTTTTTTTGGTTATATGTTATAGTAAGTAATATTTGGTTTTTAGAGGTGGGTTTGGGGCAGGAGTTAGGTTGGTGTGGATATCCAGGCAGGGGTGGGGTGGGGATGATTTTAGATTTGTACCCGTCAAGGTGGGGATGGGTATGGATTTTGGACACGTGGGGATGGGGATGGAAAGACAAACTGCCAAAGTCTGCCCTGCCTGCCCCATTGACATCATTCCAACACATTGTTTTTTCATAATTGTATTTAGTTTTTGGTAAATATTACGATTATCTTGTGCACATATGAAACTTGTATTTTACAAAATCAACATTCAAGGGTCTATAAGAAGACCTCCTTCTAAAGTAGTGTTGAGTTCTTTCCACATGTAAATTTATGCGTAACTAGTCCCGCTTGTTTGATATTGTGCTTGGCTATGTCCTATAGCAACGTATTACGTACCATGAATACACATATTAAATTAAATGCTTTTCTGTTGCAGATCACGCAGATGAATTACAATAATATAGTATATAAACCCGATTTCTTCCAGGAGATGCTTCTTGATAAGGTCTCTAGCCATTTCTCAATCCATTGTGTAGTTGACTTTAAGTAATGCTCATTTTTTTAAGCTGCTCAGTTCCATAGCTTTCATTAATGATCTAATTTCTGTTTATTTTTTCATAAATGGTTGACAGATTGGATTCAGAACCGTTGAACAAGCAACGATGAGTGTATCAGGTGCAACATTGGGTTTTGATAGAGCTGTTTTAGTTTTTCGTAAATAAGTAGTGAAGGCAAATATATCTGTTTGCAAAATTTTTAGGTTTATATGATTCATATTAATGTATCAAAAACAGTAGCTACTATAACTCAAAAGTTTTATTCTTTTAACCAAGTAATTGGTGCTGCTTGAGGTACTTGGTATTTTTGCCACTGATAAATACTAGTATTATCTTATACAGTTATACTTTGTATACCTTCAATAGAAACTTCAATAGAGTACATGATGGCCAAAGTAGGAAAACAGGAAACTTTTTTTATTGAATTAGCTCCCTTGGTATGATAAATTTAGACACTAGCTTTGATGTGAGAACTATACCCAGTTTTCGCATCATTGGCTCTATCCCACAGCATCACTCCTCCATACTTGCCACCAGATCCCTTAACAAATGGGAGCACTTGGTTTATAAGTGTTTGTGTTTGAACAAAGCCATTGTTAGCAGCATCATTTGAAGCAGGTAACCCAACAAAGAACATCTTAGCTGGGATTTTTGAGGTCCATGTTTTCCAAGAATTCTTGAAATTCTCAGGATTACTAACATCATATTCACAAGAAGGATTGTTGTAAAACTGTATCCAAACGTAGTCGAAAAGACCAGTATTTAGGGCGCCATTGAGCTCTTTATCAGGGAAAGGACACTGTGGTGCAGCACTTAGGTATACTTTCTTCCCTGATTGAAGGCCATGCTCGGCAAGTCTCCTTGCTAGCGGAACATAATGAGGTGTTCCCAACTCGATGTCGAAATCTATGCCATCTAATACCGCATCACCTGGTGAAAAAGAAGTTGGAACATTATCTTTCAAGTTTCATTTAACCATCTGGACTTGTGTACTCATTTGTAGAAAAACTTAAAGTTTGATTTATGTATAATAATTATTTAAAAATTGTATCAATTTTGTTATTAATGAAGAAATTTGCATTTTTGGGAACAACTGAGAAACAGCATGTAGAAATTTTAGCATAAATTTTATTTTATTTTTCTTTTCAAAACCATGCATACCTAATGGCCGAGAATTGGATCGGCCTCCAAGGAAATGATCCCACAAGTAATCAGCGACGCGTCTAGCATCATCAGTTGATGAAAGCGAGTAGGTACCAGTACCACCTCCGATGGAGAGCATGACCTTAATCCCCATCCGTTGGCAGTTCCTGATGCCAGTGCTCACTTTACGACACCCGCCATTGGCAGGATCACAATGACCAGCCAAGTTAATTTGGGGTGTTTGGCCATTCCCAAATGTTGAGAGAAATGCTATGTTAACATATTTGTATAAGCCACTGTTACATGTAGCTGTTAATGTTCCCTCATCCTCATTTTGGCCCCAATATATGGCAATTCCTCCTGCATTGGCTTTCAAGGGTAAGGAAATGAACAATGAGATGGTTAATGCTAGCAAGAAAAAAGGTGATGAGCAAATTTTGATACCCATAATTTATTTTCTTTGAGGTATACTAAGGCTTAAAAGTATGATTCTATTTTATAGGGGAAGAAAAGTTGAAAGATAGTTTAAGGCCAAAGTCAAAAGTCAAGTCAATTAAACAAATGTGCTTGACTTCTAAGTCAACTTTGATGACCAAGTAATTAGGAAAAACAGTACTCGTACAATTAGTTGGAAACTTTCCCAACTACAATTCTTGTGCACCTTTAAGACCTAGTAATTCCTTCGTCCCAAATTCACGTGTAGGTTTCTTCTTAACACCGATATTCTCGTAAAAAACCTTAGTTTAGGATATATATTTATTGGTGAGCTCTTTATTGATTCACCTATATAAAAAATATAGTGGAAGTATGTAAGGAATATGAAAGAACAAATAGACCTTGTTTGATAGAGAGATTTTTGAAAAGTTTTTAGCTTATTGAGTATTATTAGAGGTTTGAGCCGTTTGATTATAGTTAAAAGTTAATTTGGATGTTTGGTAAATAACTAATCAAAAGAGCTTCTTAGGCTCAAAAAGCTCTTTTTTAAAAAAACTCATTATAAGAGTTTATTGAATCATTAGCTTTTTGGGTATTAAATACACAAAAATAGTTAAAAATTAACAGTTATTTGTCTAACACTTTTACACAATAAGTTATTTACAACTAGCTAGTCAAATTAGCTAATATAACTAGTTAACACAATCAGCTAACCGCTAATCACCAAATAGGGCCATAGTCTTCTTTCCACCATTTCTTTTCCCACTCTATTTCTCAATGAATTGATGTCTTGACTTATATTTTGAAATTAATCATGATTGTAGAAATTTAAGACAAAGAACCTAAAAGATGGTCCACTACCTAACTTATTTTCTTGAAAGCGTGGAGACTTTGCGTACGGAGTATAACAGAATGGACGAATGGCTGTAAATGTGTTGTTGATTGTCATAACTCATAATGGGTGTATAACTTCTAAAAAGTAAAAAATTTCAATTCCACTTTGAAAATCTTTTAAAGTTCATTGACATATCTAAAATGGAGGATTTTTATTTTAGACTTATTATATACTAAGATGATCGTTACATGTCAACTAGGTTGATTGATAAAAGTTTTGGAGTTAAAGTTTAAGGGGTGGTATTCAAGACTTGAGATTGAATCTCTTCTACATCAGTGTCTTTGCAATTCTCTTTACACCCAAAGAAATTATTGGGATGATCAATATTAAAATTATATGTGAATCAAAGCTATTTACCTATTGACTTATTCATATAAATATTCACTATTGTGTAAAAAGTAATTTTGAAAACTTAATACAATATTAATTTACATCACCGTTTCTAATTAAATTTATTAAATACGTCATTGTGCAGTCCAACATTAACATAACTAAAAACAGCTATTATGTATTACAACATAACCCAATTAGGCAACTTATATTATTCATACATTTATTTTGATAGAAACTTGCTTAGATACATTATTATTGACCATACTAAGAAAATTTAGTTTTTTTTTGAAGAAAAATTAGTATTTAGCAAGCACTAATATAAGCTAGACACTAACACTATCCTTGATGACTTTACTATAGCCAGTTCTCACATCATTAGCTCTATCCCAAAGCATAACTCCTCCATATTTGTCACCAAATCCCTTAACAAAAGGGAGCACTTGGTTCATAAGTGTTTGTGTAGGAACAAACCCACTTCCGGCGGCGGCTTTCGAGGCAGGCAACCCTACAAAGAATTTCCTAGCTGGGATATTTGATGTCCATGTTCTCCAAGAGTTCTTGAACTTCTCAGGATCACTAGCATCAAACTCACAAGGAGGGTTGTTGTAAAATTTTATCCAAACGTAGTCGAAAAGGCCGCTGTTTAGGGCACCATTGAGCTTTTGGTCAGGGAAAGGGCACTGTGGTGCAGCAGTTAAGTATACTTTCTTCCCTGATTGTTTGCCATGCTCGGTGAGTCTTCGTGCTAGTGCTTGGTAGTGTGGCGTTCCTAATTCGATGTCGAAATCTATGCCATCTAGTACGGCATCACCTAGTAGAAAGAAGATGGATGCATCATGTTAGTTAAGGGAATGAAAAATGGAGGCAAAACAAAGCATCCCTATATAAGAATTAGGACACCCTTTTGTTCATTTCAAGTATTTTATTTTTCAATTTGTATATTGAAATTATTATATTGAGAGATGATGAATGAGCAATATAAAGTTCTCTAGAAATGATAAAATTTCATTGGATTCAGCACAAGCCCAGCTCGAAGAAGAGTCTGACTACATATAAGTCCAACAAGGTTTCATTTCAAAACTAATTTGTGATAGGTGAGGTATTCCACTAATCTTATATGTTAGTCATTCTCCTTCTTATATGTCCGTGAATTTCTCAAAAAACTACCAGTATTACTTAATTAAGTTCAATAATTTGGATTATTGTTGTACACTTTTCCTCAAACTTTTTGTTTTTTTTTCTTTTATAAAATTGTTTTGCATACAAATAAATTGCATTATCAAAAACATGCATACTTCCATGTACAAAGTTCATGAAATATACCTAGTGGCCAAAAGTTGGATTGGCCTCCAAGGAAATGATCCCACAAGTAATCGGCGACGCCTCTAGCATCATCGGACGATGATAGAGAGTAACTCCCGTCGCCACCACCAATGGAGAGCATAACCTTAATCCCCAAGCTTTGGCAATTTCGGATGCCAACGCTCACTCTTTGGCACCCACCAGAGTCAGGGTCACAATGGCCCGCCAAGTTGACCTAAGGAGTTTGGCCACTCCCAAATGTTGAGAGAAAACCTATGTTAACATACTTATATAACCCACTTTTACATGTTGCTGTTAATGTACCCTCTTCCTCATCTTGGCCCCAATACACCGCGATTTCTCCAGCTTTGGCTTTCAAGGGGAAGCTAGCAATGAAAAGAGAGGTTGTCAAAGCTAACAAGACAAATGATGAACTTGTGTTTTTCACACCCATTGTTCTTGGCAAGTATTGATTTGAGTTCTAAGGCTAGGAATTGCATGCTAAGTCTAATTTATAAGGCTAAGAAGTAATCCGGCCTTTAGTCAATTAGTCCAAATGATACAAGTTGTTCATGTACGGAGTATACTATTTTGAAATGTCTTTGTCACACACTAGTCCAAAATGTTAAGCTTTATAATTGTACATACAAAATAGTACTATGCTTCAGCTTCTTAATACGCCACTATAATTTTATAATTTTTAACTAACTTTGATTGAGAAGAAAGGATACAAATAAATGGTCAATTATTGACCTTCTTTTTTTTTTGGTGGTATAATTGTCCTTTACTAAGATCATGTGACTTCTATTTTCAAACGGATACGGTAGATTTGCGGGTCTTGGTGAAATAATTAGATTGGCCTATAACATGAAAAGAGAACCAGCTTTATGGGTTAGATTATTTTAATGTGATGATTATTAGTACTAGCTAGTACTAAACTAGTAATTGTAGTTACTTGAAGCCACCCATTTCACAAGTAATCAAAATGTGGTAAGTACCGTAAGATGTTTGAATGCAATGTAATCCATTGAAGAAAGAAAATGTGCACCCTTAACAAAAGTGTGCACTCAAACAAGAAACAACCAATTTTCTCGTACAATATACTGGCATACTACACATGATATCCGAGAACGAAAATTAAACCAGTTTATCATCACAATTTTATCATACAAACACGAAAAATGGAACCAAGAACAAGTAGCTAGTACAAGGTGCATCACAATGCCATAGATTAGCTATTGCTTTATCCATTAGACATCTATAAGGGGTATGATAAACGTGGTTTTAAGGGTTCAGATTTTAATTTAATGTTTTTACATAGAGCACTAATCAAAACTTGATAGCATTGACCAATGATTATGACTTTGTTATAAGTTTCAAGAAAATTTTAAGGAATATATATCATAATTGTTAATTCAAACGCCTCTTAAAACAATTGTATTCAAGTTTTGTTCATAAACTTAATTGAATGACTGGTATCTATCCTTTCATCCTAAGATATATTCTAACGAAAACCTCGAGTGATATGTGCCATGCTTATACTTACAATTAATGTTTGTAACTCAAAATATGCTCTTTCTGATCCAAAATACTAGTCGTTTTAGCTAATTGCTTGATTTTGATCCGTTTTACAATAACAATGTACCATTTGTGAGCTAGGTAATATCTTTGATTTTTCAAAAATGATTTAGTTTTTTGAATCATGGAGTACTTACAGATTGACATAAGATGCTGATCAAAAGAACAAGATATAATTATAAAAGAATTTTATTAACGGAAACTAACATTGAATAAGTCAGACGACATTTACAATAACAATTGGCCTGAATAGATAGTATGATCTAATCAGATAGGTTGAGCCATTGATAATAATGTAAAAGTACAGAAATAATTTAGCTACGATAATTAGCAGATGGAACAAACAAATTACACATACAATAATTTTAACACCTAACTCGTCCAAACTAATCATCAAATTCTACCTTTCTCTGCAAAGTCCACTCCGGTGGTCATCTATATATACAGGTCCGAAAAAGGACGTACCCCTTGGTTTTGATGGGTTAGGACAAATTTGACATGAACTGCAGAGTCAGCTAGAATGGATAACCAGCTTTTCTGCTACTAATCGGATGCCTGCAGTCTGCTGGAAATCATATTGATTCAAGGAGATGAACGCATCAACAAAAGTTCCAGCTGTGAACAAACAATCGAGTTCCGGAGGATCAAACGTACTGAAAAGAAGCTTTTGCTCAGCACCTGAAGCAGCTTCTCTTTGGCAAATTTCGGTACCATACTTTGCAATATCTTCAGTTACAACAGTAGGTATACTGCAAAAGGTGAAGACCATGCACAGATTAAAAAATCAAAAATTACTTATTAGCAACCTACCTATAGTAAAGGAAAATCCCTTCAGTGGAAAATAACTGCTTTAGACCCTCATTATACGGCACTAGTATTACATTAGAGGACTGTAGAAATCTTACTCCATATTTAACCGACCAGACACCAGTGGGTTGGGAAAAAAATGCCAAAAAATTCCCTATTTTTACTACATTTCTCTTGAGATATTTATGTGTTCTGACATCATGAAATTGAGTTTTTCTACATCATAATTGCATAGTGACAGAGTGATATACATGAGGATAAGCAATAAAAACTACGATTCAGGACCTGGAGGTATATTTCAGATAGAAGATTGAGGAGAGCAAACTTACTGGAGTCGTATAGTAGGGAAGTTCCAGTATCCATTCTTTCTGACTACCACGGGCCTCCAATCAGATGTGCTACCAGACTCTGCAAACAAACTCTGTGCATGATTATCACATGCTTCGAGAACTTGACATACGCTTGGAGGGGCATCTACTACAAAGCTCAACCTAGGGCGGCCTGCCTGATCTACAAACCTTGTACTAATTCCAAATCTCACTTTCAGATGGGTACAGTGAAGTTTGAGTAAAACAGTATCATGCAGTATCTGAATCCTACGACTCCCGCGATAAAATGGGACTAGAGATGCACTGATCAAAGGAATGGAAACATCCTCAGGAGTTAAATAAGCAGAATCGCTGCAGCCCTCAAATATAGTTGATAGGCGAGACATCCCTGGGGATTCAGTTATAGGTCTTTTTTCTTCTGCATCATCTTCTTGAATGGCATCGTCCATTATTTCCTCAGAAAGCCTTCTCATGTCAAAAGGTTCCGCTTCATGTCTAATGGGCTCAACCACATTGAGTAGCTGCTCCCCCATGGTTTGATTTGAAGGGTTTTCAGGCATCGGATCTGGGTTGGGTCTACTGGGCTCAACCACATTGAGTAGCTGCTCCCCCATGGTTTGATTTGAAGGGTTTTCAGGCACTGGATCTGAATTGGGAGCATAGCTTATTTCCATGGGTGAAGTTCTCCCACCACTACGAGTTCTTCTTGTAGTAGAAGTCGGAGAAACCCAACTGTCTCTTGTAAGAATGTCTGGAAGACTTGACTCCTACACACAGGAAGAAAGAGTTATCCCATGAGGAGAATGCTAACAAGGCATTGTTAACCTCAAATACAGTCCAAAGTCCAAAATACCCCAGAGACGGTTTTTGCAAAGTAGACTACATTATAAGAAGCTAGCATTTCCCTCATTATGTTAACCTCAAATACAGTCCAAAGTCCAAAAGTTTTCGAGCTTGAAGTTGAAAGGTTATATGTGTAGAATTTTTGGTAGTAAAATTAGAGTAAAGTTAAAGTGTTGCGACAGAGAGAAATGGATGTGATAATCCAATAGAGAAAGAAAAGATATACTGACATTAAATCTGGGACATCCCAAACACAAAATGGGAAGACTATAAAGGACCACAAACTTATTCATATAATATTCTTCAATGATTTACCAAGAAACAATTTACTTGATATCTCAAATCTCAATCACCATAAGGAAGAGAGTGAAAAATAGACTTCAGAGTTCAGAGGAAAAAGCCATGGCATAGTAGATAATGGAAAACTCTAAAACCTTGTCAATAACTTTTAAGGCAACCTTCCAACCGGATGAAGGACCAGGAAAATAAATAAGTTCACAGAGGTCATGAGTTAAATTCCAGAAGACAATTCCCTTCATAACAGAGTAAATGATTCCCCACCCGGCCACCCCAACCCACTCCACTTGCGTGCACACACACACACAAAAAGATTACTTTTATTGGTGGTCCTTTCCTACAGTCCTACATTACTTTATTCAATCAAGGGATAAATTAACACCCACTTCTTGACTTTAGGCTGTGTTCTCTTCACATTATTCTAATTACTTATCCTTACTAGATTTAGGCCAAAGCATACCACACCAAAACCAGAGCAGGCCAGTGTATAGCCGTTTCTAACCTAGTTAAAGTGATTTCAGTGAGGCACACAACATTTTTCCAGATTTTTTTTATCAATTTTTATCAAGTATCACTTCGATGAGATGCCCTGAGCCTTGGGAACAGGGAAATCCATATCGCATTGTTGCACCTTGAGCTTTTATATACATTGGATTGAACCAGGCCATAACATTTTATCTTTTTTGCTTGTTAAAAAATATTTAATTTCGCATAAATAGAACTATGAAGCTTAAATATTTGGAAGGTACAGATTAAGACATATATAACAAGATCCCACTTGATTGAGTTGTTTAATATATATTATCATACAAATGCAGTCAAAGTTCAGTCAAATCAGATCATCTTAGACATGGAATAGTCACACCAGACCAGATTTTAAAATTTTCAGATTTAAACACATACATACCAGGTGAAGAGAACATAGCATTAAGAGGACAAAGTTAATGAGAAACATCTACATACTGCTTGAAGTGCCAGAATGCCAAACCTATGGAGATATAAAGCAGAATTTAAGAAACAAACTACCCTTCCCCAGCAAAGTTGAAATTGCACACTAACAAAGTAAAGCATTAATAGTCAACTACACAGCATACTTAACAAGCAGGTATTTAATTAATGAAACAAAATAAAATGAATTACCAAAAAGAGAACAGTTGCACAATACTTGAGGACTTCAAGATTCATGCGCACATCATCCAAGCTCCTGAAATCGTTGGAGAACACTTAAATAAATAAGAATTTTAAGCAGGAATCCTAAGAAAGACAATAAAAAATTGGAGAAACACATAACTCCTTGAACATAACATATTTCCTCGTTCACCATCACCAAAAAAAGAAAGAAAAGAAAAAACACAAAATCAAAAACAAAAGCAGACTATAATTGTCACAACCCATTTGTATCCAAGGCCAAAGCTAATCAGTCATAGCCAGGCTTGCTTTCTATTTAAAAAAAAAAGAAAAAAATGCCAAGATTGATGAGCCCCTAGCTTTAAGTATAAGCCAAAACAGAAGAGATTAAAGGTGTGATGAAGAGTTATATATTATGGGTGTACAGCAAACAGCAAGAACATGTAGATCGATACTAAAACAAGAAAGAACATAAAAGAGAAGAATACAATTATTCGGATATTTATATAGCTAGTGAATCTAAACACCAATTTCCACCCTTTCAATATACTAATCCAGCCATCACATAGTATGCCTGCCCCCCCCCCCCCCCCCTTTTCAATAGAATCAGAAAAAACACTATAAGTTGCTGTGTTAACACCGGTGGGTGAAAGTGGGAAATCGGCATTTTACCTATGAGTTTGATGACCCAGTCCAAAGTAAGTGGCAAGAGTGGCCATCTGAAAACCAAAAATATCAAGACATTAATTGTCAATCTCTTGCAATTTCTACCACATTTAGGCATTAAAAATTCATGATATTATCCACAAAGTGCAAATAATCTCATTTTAAAAAAAAAAAAAAATTCCTTCTCAAGGCCAAACTTTCAATTGCAAGATTAGCAACCAATCTTAATAGACAAACGAAAAATGTTGTCTTTATTGCCACATAATTCAAACTCATTACTCTGTTGGAAGCTCTGGCTTTTATCTCTTATTTTCTAAAATTCAAATTGCTTTTGCTATATAGGCCAACATACAAACCAGGAGAATCATACAGAGTTAAAAAGATTATTAAACAAACACATCATTTTGCTATTTCCTATTCAACAAGAAATGCTTCTTTCCATCAAACAAATAACTGAATTATGGTTTCAACCCCATTCCAACACGTTGTAGAAAACTTATAAGTGTTAAAAGTAAACCAAAGTGAACCTTTTTTCATCCAATTTTATAAACAAACACTTAGGGTTCGTTTGGCATTGTTGTGGTTTTTTTTTTCTGGTTTTTTATTTTTTAAAAGTATATATATGCTCCATAATGAATCAAAAATTATTTAAACTTATTAAAATCATAATAATTTTGAAAACTGACAATAGAAAAGTGGAAACATTTTTTTTTTTTTGTCTTTAATTTTCAAAAAAAACAGAAAACTAAAAATAAAAAAAATGATGCCAAACAAATCCTAAAATGTTATTTTGCTTAATTCAAACTATAGAAGTAGAACTAATCAACATACAAAGCAACAGAACAAAGAAATTATCTTAAGAGTCTTGAAGGATACCCCAAGACCTCGAAATCAAATCCCGTCTACATCATTTATCCTTTCCGGCTCTCTCTACACCAAAAATTACAATTACCTATCATAGTATAAAATTACCTTCATATTTCCAGCTCGACGACCAAATCTCTCAGTAAGCAAAGCCAAAGAATCAATTACCCCTTTCGGCTCCGGCGGCGACCGCCCAATCTCCGCAAAAGCCTCTCTAATCCGAGGACAATCAAACCTCAATATGTTATGTCCTGCCCAAATCCTCCCTAAAATTCACAAAAACTTCATCAATTAACCAAATCACAAGTCAAAATCATCCAAGAAATAGAGGAGAGAGAAAGAATGGGTACCATTCAGGATGTCGAAGATTTTGTCGGCAATGGCGGAGAAAGGAGGGGCGGAGGAGACGGCGGCGCGTGAAATACCATTGCAACGCTCCGATTTAGAGGAGATACGAGAGATATCATTAGGGCAGATAAGAGTGGAGTAGCTTTCGAGCTCAACGAGCTTCTTAGGGCAAACTAAAATAGCCCCAAATTCGAGGATTATGAAGGATTCACCTGGTTTTAATGGAATTGTTGTTTCGACATCGAAGAATGCGATTTCTGAGCGTTCTTCCGCCATTGATGAAGAGGTTCAAGGTTTTTGAGGTTTTAGGGGAAATGTTGAATTGGGGATTTGAAGAAGAAGGCGCCAAATGATGAGAGATAATAATAGTTTGTTAAAAAGAATTAGAATTCGTTACGTTTATAGGTGGGTTGCTTCTTTGATGAGGCTTGGTGTTTATACAAGAGAAGTCTCAATTTGAGTTTTAGTAGTCTTGGTAACGAAGAATATACCTTTTGAGTTTTGAGGTAGTCGGCCATTTTGGTATTCCGTGTGCTAAAGGTGTCATTTCGAGTAATTTGGTCGGATTTGGTAAAATTGAATCAGATCGGGTCTATTTTAAGGATCTGTTTTCATACGTTGAAATTCAGTTCAATTCAGTTTAGTTCAGTTCCTAATTTCCTTCTCTTATAAAATATTCATTTCAGTTCAATTCAATTTAATTCAGTTCGGTTCAGTTCAGATCACTTCAGCTGGGTTCAGTCAATGAGAACAAACCCTAAATGGGGATATATCCGTATCAATTGAAATTTGAAATCGGTCAGTTGGCCAAGACAATTTCAGACCGAGTATTTATATACAGAGGTGTCAATAAGGATGATCGGGTTGGGTTTGATAACGTCAAGTCGGGTTAGATTAATTTTAAAAGTTGAGTCATGCTAACTTATTATGTCCACACAAGTTCAAATCTAAATCAAATATTTTTTCGAGTTGATTTCGGATCGAGTAAGGTTGAGTGTGATTCTGCAACTCTAGCCATATATGGAATTATGGACTAACAGAGTTTCTATTTTGGAGGGTTGTTTAGTTGATAACGGGTATAAAGAATGGAATCTTTAAGAATGGTGCTTTGCCTTCCGTATGATACTCCTTTTCATCCATCGTGGCAAGTTACCCATGCGATTACCATTTTCCTCACGATACTCTTTATGCAATGCAAGTAATACGAATTAGGACTTTAGGAGTATTTTTTAATCTACTCTAAGGTTATGTAATGAGAACTGAGAATCAAGGTTGATCTAGTGATTGGAGGTCCTCCTTCCATTCCTGTGAGAGGGGTTCGATTCTCACCCTATTCAAGTTGGATCCCTTATTTCCCCCAACTTGTAAGGGAATTCTCCTTACCATATAAAATGAATTAAACATAACATTAACGTAGTATCAAAATACATAACGTGACAAGTAATACATTCATATTGTTTGTCCACTCGGCCAAAAGTCATGTCCATAACCTGGTCATTAGGTACACATCAGCTAAAACCCCATACAAGAGGATAGATATCCTCCTTGATATTTATGCTCTTAAATGGACAACCAATGAGGATGCTCTAATGTTTTATCAATTTTGTACTATTTTCTAGATGAAACATATACAAATAGCTCAAGGAATGCTGATTAATTCGCTTTCTAACAATGTCATTTAAGATATTAATTCTAAAAAAAAAAAAAAACAATGTCATTTAAGAGTTTGAAATTAACTATTTACTTCTCTTTCATAAGCAAGAGAGACGTAAATGGTTAGGAAAAAGTCAGTTTCAGTGAGCTACTAGTAACACTGCCAGCTATTGGCCTGTGAAAATGCAAGTCCATGAGATACAACTCCGAAGTGAACTGATAGTCTCAGAAACTCTGGGCTGCCCTAAGCTCCTTGAAGCTAGGACAACCAATACCGCTAACTATTGGGTAAAAAAATAAGAAGATGGCCAACAATATGCACAGAGATCTACTCAAAACCTTCGTATTGACAAATGATGTGGTTTCAGGACACTAGTGTCGAACTGTTAGACCGGGTTTTTAATCTGGAGGATGTGGTGTGCACAACTCATTACACCCCTTTCAAACACTCCATCATAAAGCTAAGTTGATGGCAACAAAGCTTGTCAACAATTTTTACATCAAATTTGAAACAAGCAAACAAATGTGTCTCTACTTCCTGTATTTCTGAACTCAAACAGATTTGCCATTGTTTACAGCACAGATCACTTATATTATCAACAAATTATGGAAATATGTAATATCTGTATAAGCTAAGATTCAGCAACTATGCACTAAACAAATCTAGCAAAAATTAGCCTCAAAAGATCTTTACATATAACTACTTAAAGCTGTCATGAACTTAGTATGTGCTTGCATCATAATATGACAGAAGAGCATATATATCTATTTACACATTCAACTTTCAGGTCCACTTCCTCCAGATAGACACAGATGCAAAAAGTTCAGACACTATGAGTACCAGATTTGAAGGAGATGCCTTCAGAACAGACAACTTGGTAAGGTGATAATGCCACGGTAAGCTCACTTCAGGTAGTAGAAAAGCATTTTTTTCCATCCGAATTAGGCCTCCATTGAAGTTTTAAAGGTCATTATTTCAGAGATCAACAAAAGAAATGAGCTACAATGATTCCAAAGACATTCTCGACTGCATATAAGGCAGCACATTCACAGGCTTCTGCCAGTTGGAAGATACAGAGTCTGTGAATGTAGTAGATTCCTGGAAACTGAAATTGGGTCTGCAAATGCCTCTTCCCAACTGACCTTGAAAGAAAACTTTGCATCAGATTCTGCAAAGTAGCAAACCGCAGAAATTAAAAATTGATTATTGATTACCTAAATATAGCAGCACTACCATGCACAAGGTCGAGTGGTAGACGTGCAAGGAGGATATACTACAGCTATACAAATTACTCAGCTTCTAGACAAATTGGCCATGATACAAATACTTTGTTATGGAAACGTCATACACTATAGTGTGAGAAATCATAGGTTTAATCTCAATGGTTGCAACATACATTCTAGGACAGCCAGATTTGAATAAGCAATGTGTTGGCATTAAGGAATGACTATAATATCAAGAAAAGTGATTTCTTACAGGCAAGGTCCCTTTATCTCTATTGGTGCAAGATCGGTGACAAGATGAAGCTTGATTATGTAATAATAATATATTGAATAAACGAAAAAACAATTAGGAAGTTATATTGCATATATGATATATCTGATGGCTGATGCAGTTCACCTAATAAATGATATACTTAACTGAAGACTGCCAAACATGCAAAAGTGCCTAAATCCAAAAAACTTTGTGCAATCTATCATTGATCCAAACAAGGTAATTGGAGTTTGAGTTTCTTTAAACTCGCAGAGAAATTGAAGGAAGATATACCATCTTCAAATTCCTGTCCATTTTTTTCTTCTCATATTTACTATTAGAATGCTCACACGTGTTTACCAAACCCCCTTTTCAAGTTAGCAAGCGAGACAGCAGAGTAAAAAGTTTCATACATCCTATTAATGAAGAAATTTTCTGCAGATTTAACATACAGCAACTGCTTTAGAAAAAGCAGGTAGCATCTAGATACTTTTGTCACTGAATTAATTGAGAATATGTATGCTCTGCTACAATGAATGCTCTGAAAAGAAAACTATCTATTACATTGAACCATCTTGTTCGGTGAATATTGTTTACATTTACCCTAAGGATGCAACACCTTAAAAGCAGAAGAAATCCTTACACTGAATTCCTCGAATCAGCATTTGTACAGGGCAGCAACAGCTGAACTCTGACTTCGGATTTATATTATCCCAATCAATCATAATCAAGTATGACACTGATGATGCTAGATTGTTCTGCAGATTCTCACTTCTCAAATATTATAAACTTACACAGGCACACAGCTATGTTACCCGATTTGATTGTCAAGATATTATGGAATAGTACTCCTGGCCTGCAGAAAAATTCCACCCTCTATAGGTTAATTAGCTCCTCACTTGTATCATGATGATTGTCATCATATCTGATTTCATTTGAGAGTCTATTTAGCATCTCATATATCGAAGTGGTATGTATATCACCAGCCATGAATTCATGAATTACTTCGTTTATCTGCACCCAACTCCTGCTGTTATCATTTTTTGAGCTTGTCTCAATCATATTCTTCCATATAGCCACCTCTCCCCATCTTCTGGCAGTGGCATAATTATTTGACATTGGGACAAGATACTCAATTTTCTCCAGGTCAGGCTTCATTATGAGTTTCTGAGCTGCATAGGAAACAATGTCAGGATTCCTGTGAATCATACATCCACAAAGAAGTGCACCCCAAACTATATCATTGGCCTCCATAAGAATAGTCTCTATAAGCCTTTGTGCTTCTTCCAAGAATCCTGCTCGACTCAAAAGACCAACCAGACAACCATAATGCTCGATGCTGGGGCTAATTGCCCATTTTTCTTCCATTTCATTGAAATATCGACACCCCTTTTCAACATATCCTCCATGGCTACAGGCCGAAAGAACCCCCAAAAGTGTTCTGGCATCAGGCTTTACTTCATCTGAATTTTGCATCCATTCAAAAACCTCTAAAGCTTTCTTAGCAAATCCATGCTTACAATATCCCATGATCATGGTTGTCCATGAAACTATGGTTCTACATGGCATTTCTTCAAAGATCCTACATGCATCTTCTATCACTCCACAATTAGCATACATATGAATGAGGGCATTGTGTAAACGTACACAACTGTCTCGTGTCCTCCCATCAAATGCCTTATTAACATAAGAATGAATCCATTTCCCGGTGCTTAAGTCCCCTAACTCAGCACATACTGACAAAACTACAGTTAGTGACGCCTGATCCAATTCCAAACCTGTTCTTCTCATCTCTTGAAACAACAATAAAGCATGCCTATACCATCCATTTCGAGCACACCCCGAAAGCATTGTAGTCCAAGAAACAAGATTCCTCACTGGCATCCCATCAAAGATTCTGACCGCCCCATCAAAATCTCCACACCTGATATGCCCTGAAAGCAATGAATTCCAAGTTACAGGATTATTTTCATCAGACATTTCCTCAAAAACCTTATAAGCATTCACAAGACCAACTTCATCTCCCAACCCCAAGTACAAATTGATCAAATTGGTCCTAACAAAACTATTTGAGTAATACCCATTTGACAAAACGCTCCCATGAATCTGTTCTCCCTCTCTGAACATCAAAGATTGCGCGCAAGCACTTGCAAGATTAGAATATGTGTATTCATCAGGCACTAATCCTTCTTCATACAACATTCTGCAATATAATTCCACTGATTGTTGTGGTGTGTCACTAAGTGCATAACCTCTAATCATTTGATTACAAACAGTGGTTGATGGGCTAGGCATTTCCTCGAACACCTTGCAAGCATTCCGGAAATACCCATAAGTTGTATAAAGTGAGATCAGCTTAACAATGAGGAAATTTTTATGGGAAAACCCATTGATGAGAATTTGAGTGTGGATTTGGGTTAACTGTTTTATGGAGTTACAGGTTTTAAGGAGAGAGAAAATGTGTTTTTGGTGAGCTCTTAAGTTGATTTTAATGGCGGGAATAGCTTCTGCAACAAACATTTTGAATTCACAGTCAATACAGAGTAGCTCTTGAACTCTTAGATACTTAGATATCTCCCTAAAGAGATGTCTCCTAAGAGACTTTCCTAAACTTCTAAAATAGAGATAGACTTGGCAATATTGACTCGTACTAATACTCCGTAATTATTATCTAATCCAATTGTCTAAACTATACAAAATTAGGAATAATAGACGGGTCAAAACTCAACTTAAAATTTTGTCCAAAACACGGGTTAAGTTTTATCCAAGCTATATTGACATTGGAATTCATACTTGTATATTAAATGGAAAATGATACTCTCTCTGTTCTTTTTTGTTTATTACATTATAAAGGTTTTTTTAAAAAAAATATTTGGTTACAAGAAATTCTGGGGGTGAAAAGAGTAATGTTATTGTAGTAATTTTGACTTAGTGATAGTAAAAGTGTGATTTGATAATACAACTAAAAACAAATTAGGCAAATTTAAAGGGATGCAAACTTTAAGAGACCAATGGAGTACTAATTAGTGATTAATAAGGTAGGAAATGATATCAAGTTTAACTAAATTAGAAGGAAAACGCTACTACGGAGTAATTGTTAAACACATAAATGCATAATATACATACATGTAATACCTAAGATAAATTATTTTGTTTTTTAATACCTAAGATAATTAATTATGCATAAATGCATAATATTATACTACTACGTATTATATAACAAAAATTTTATTAAATGGCATCTTATAACTTAAAGGTTGGGTATTTAATCCCTAGTACTCTATTTGTCTAAATGTCTAATAGAGGTAATTTGGGGAATGAATCCCTATACACTCAAAGTATTTAGCTTTGCTAACTTGGTTGATTTGTAATATACTTTTTTTTTTTTTTTTTTGAGAGAATATACTTAAAGAAAAGGGAGAAAGTGAAATTGTTTAATTGTCAAATTCATCATAAAAACAATTAGCCATTCCAATGAATTGAATTCAAAATACATAGAAGTAAAGAACTAACCCTTAATTTAACCATTAAAGCAAGACCTCATTACTATCCCGAAGACGGTAATTTCTAAACAAATCACTTTAGAACTAAGGTAAACCAACAAATCACATTTACACACTAGTTAGTGATGAGTGTGTTGGAAGTTCTTGATATAAAATAAGAGAGTTGGGAAAAAAACAAGAGAGAGAAAAACAAATGAAAGGGAAAAATCCCACATTGGTTGGGGGGAAAGCTTTTTCCTTGTTTTTATATTGTAGTGTCTTGGTACTACTTAGTTGAGTGAGTGGGAGGTAAGTGTTACTCCACACACACACGCGCGCCGAGCCGGCCTCGAGTCTCGGAAAATACGATGCGCGGGCGTGGGTCCTTGTTAAACAGAATATTCTTTTTAATTCCTTGTTTCTTGCTTCCGTTGTTGATTGGCTGAATCAATCTGGTCGTTTTCTTAGCCAAATTCGTCCCTCGTTTTATGCTTCTGGCCTCCCTTCTACTGCCTATATATACTCGTTGCATTTTCCAGTCAGAATACACAACACAATCAGTCTTCTCTCTTCTCTAAAAAATTATCTAAACACGAGTTCTTTCTGTTCTGTTTTTTGGGCAAATATTCTGAGTTCCAGTCGGGTTTGTGAGTGCACATAAACTCCGGCGTCGTGCTTATTCTGGAGGCCGATCGTTTCTAGTCTACTGCACCGGGAGGTAGAGCGCAATCGTCTTTTAGGTCAGTGGTTCTCCACGACGCGGCTATTGTCAGTTTGGTTCACGCATCAAGAGATAAGTAATTTCTGTTTTATTACTTGGTATAACATAATGATGATAAGGTAGGTCCCAAGATGACTAAATAAAGGCACTAAAAGCTAATCCAACCCAGTCTCTCGATTCTTCTATACGTTCTAGTACATCACTACTATATCAAACCATGTTCCTACTCAACATTATTATGTACTAGACTACTAGTATATTGTATTCTCATCTCTGATCTCTCACAAGCATTTCATCAAACACATAGTGAGCAATGTCACTAATCCCCAGAAACAACTCCAACAATCCAACCCCTTTCACCCCATTTTCCCAAAACTTCTGGGATCACTTCTTCTCCCATGATTTCCTCTCCAACCCTTCACAAACTTCCCACTCTCCCCTTTTCTCTCTCCTCCTCGCACAGTCCCATACTCGGAACTCGCCGTCGAAACCTCCGGCGACGTCAGAACCCGGCTGGAATGCAAGGAGATCCCTGAAGCGCACTTGATTGTAGCGGAATTGGCCGGAGTTGAGAAGCACGAGGTGGAAGTTGCGGCGGAAGATGGCGGGTTTGTTAAGATATGCGCCGTTGATGGGAGGTTCTCGTGGCGGTTGAGGTTGCCGGAGGATGCGAAGGTTGAGTTGATGAGCTTCTCAATTGAGAATGGTGTGTTGACTGTTGTGGTTCCGAAGTTTGTAAGGGAAATGATGTGGGATTGGGAGAGAGGCGATCATGATGGAGGGCGTGAGCGTGATGTTAGGGTCGTTGAAATTACGGGCGAAGATGAATAATCCGGATACGAGTCAGTTTTGTCACCGGACTAGTTAAAGAGTTTATGGGAGTTACTTTGATGTTAGGACTTGGGAGTAAATGTTTAAGATGTTTTTTTTTTTTTTTGGTGAAGAAATGTTTAAGATGTTGAATGTGAATGTTTGTACTCTCGTTATTTTGTGTGTAGTGTATAGGCTTGTATTTACAAATGTTATGTGTGTTGACTTTAGTTAAAAGGTGGATTATGTGAGTGTTATGAATAATATGGAGTACTCTGTAGTATTTATGATTGTTGTGTACTTGTGTGGTATTAGTTTTTTTTTTTTTTTTTTTTTTTTTTTTTTTTTTTTTGAGGGGATGTGTGGTATTAGTTTTAGATTTGCTAAAAGATTATGGAATAAATTTTATGTTGTTTTCACCCTAAAAAAATAAAAATTGTGTTGTTTAAGAGGTTACTTATACCTTACCCAATTTTGTACTCTGGTAGGTGTGTTTTGTTGTATTGTCATGCCAAAATATAGCCAAACCTACTTTGAGCTTGCTCCCATGAAATATGTTCTCTGACATTATCATCCCAACACTCATTAGTCATTACTCCCTTAGATATGTCTCTAAATTTAGCCATCCCGGCGGACCATTATATTAAATGAAGGGATTAAGATAATGTTCACTTCATCTTAAAAAAGTAATATTCAAGTAAAATAAGTTCATTTTAATAAAAATAAGGCAAGTTCACTTTACCTTACAAAAATAATACTCCCTCCGTTTTTAAATACTTGTTCCACTTTCTTTTTTCGGCTGTTTATAAATACTTGCTCCAATGCTCCATATCCTTATTTGGAAATGTTTTACAATATTTAACTAGGTTAGTCCCGTGCGATGCACGGTTTTATCAAAATATATAACGATAATTATATCATTTTTAGCTTTTGTTTCGGTTGAAAACAATGGGACCTTGCCGAAGGTCCACTAAAATGGAGAAGACTGGATTCGATCCAAGCTGTGTTGGGCCGAAGGTTTCCTGCACAGTGAACACACGTAAACTAGCCTCGGGGGTGTTTCCGAGGAAGGCCCCTCCGATGCTAAAGTCAGTACAATGTGTAAAAAGGAAGACACTATGCAAGAGAGTTTGTAGCTTGAGGCTTTTGTGGAGTATTTCTCAATGCAAGAATGAGCATATGAGTTGGAATAATCCGTGTATGAGATAATGTATGTGATGATGCATGTGTTGTTGTGTCTCGTATGTGATGTTATGAGATGTCTTATGTAAGAATATGACTCTCCCCTTGAATGTGTTAATATGAGGGCTTTTATACCTCATCATATTTGGAGAGGTTGGGCTTTAGCCCAATTGGCTTACTTTGTGGGCTGACTTTTGACTTTTGAGCAATTGGAGAGTTGAACCTTGACCTTGGGCTTTTAATTGGATCATTTAGTGCTCAGGCCCAATTTTGACTAAATTGGACCCAAACAACTTGCCCCCCAGACCCGATTCGGAAGAATGACGGGTCGGGTTTGATTTAACTCAGAAAAGGAGGGAAGTAAATGATTTAATTGATCCAAAAATTTGAATTTAAACCGTAATTAATGAGATAACAACGGTTAATGATTTGCGGAAGTTGGACGGATAATGGGCGGTTTAATCACAAGACATGTGTTTAATGGTTACTTAGTGGGTACTTAAGAGAAATTAAAGCACAGACTCTTCGTATCCCGTACCTGGAGATATAAACAGAGGCGCGTCATTCTCCTCACTGATTCACCAACACAAACCCAGAATTCTTCGAGAGAGAATCCAAGAATCCGTATCAAAACTTCGCAAATTCCCCCGAGCATTGAGCTTAGAAGCTGAGACTTGCCACTACGAACTCGTAAATCGGCAACTTTCGCTTCAGATTAGGTAAATTCCTTTGATTTCAGTTTATTTTTCTTCGAATTCGAACTCCTTCCCCTCTTCTTTCGACTTTTCTCTTCGAAATAGTCCATGGCAAGAGGAGTTAGAGGTAGAGCCCGTGCTCCAAGAAGAGCAAGGCCGATTCCCGATCCTAGGAATAGGATTGGGACCTGGAATGGTCGAAGGCCGGAGTCTGACCCTGCTGATGGGATTAGGGCGACTCCCCTTTCCTCGGCTCCTCCTCAAAGAACGGATGAGCCGAGTGCTTCTGGACGGGACGATGAAATTCCCGCTGTCCTTTGGGATATCCTCCCTGGGTTTTCAGAGTGGGAGAATGCCGAAGTCGCTTCGGCCATGATAAAGAACCGCCCCTACTCATGGTGGGTAGAGAACGCCGATCAATATCGATTTGCCGAGCAAATTGAGTTGCACTACGGCATTTTTGAAGCTGATGGATATTGGTGCCGAATGCCCTCAGCATCCGATAGAATCCATCGTCCACCCCCGGGGTATGTGGGGGTGTACACGAGACAGCTTCAGTATGGGCTGAGGTTCCCTTTGGACGTTTTCGTCCGAGACTTGCTGATCCATTACAACATTTCCCTATGTCAGCTAACCCCCACCAGCATCCGAAGGGT